TTTGCATAAATTCATGAAAAAGAAAATTAGTTCATTACAAAAAAAAGAAATAGTTTGAATGGTCTAGCAGCTATTACAGAGGGCAGGATTCATACAGCATCACTGCCTTGGAAGGGGTCATTGGAAGGGTCCTTGGAAGGGTCCTGGGAGGCGTTCTCAACAGTTCTCTGAACTCTGGAATGGCCGGTATCAGCAATGTCCTCCTCGGTTTCCTCATCGGCGTCCTCGAGCTCGATACCCATCTATTCGTCGGGTACCTCGGGTATAGGATCCTCCTCACTTGGACCCTTGGCCAAGACAACAGGAACGTCGCCCGGAAACGAGGCAATCTCCGCGGGAGAACTCATTTTTGCCATGGCGCCAGTCAAAGCTCCCCACAGAGGAAGCTGCTCGAGGCTCAACCTTGTTAAGACCTTTACCATGGCCTCGTGCATGGTTTTCTTCGGGTCCTTCATCAGGAGCTGCTTGAACCATTTAGCCTTGATTGGCCTGTCCTGGTCGAGCTTCTTCAACCCTGCCAGCCCAACTCGGTGCGGACCACACTTGGTGGCAACCAAGTTCATTTCCTCAAGGGCTACCGCCATCCCTCCTGTACACATCATTTTGCTCATGAAGGCAGTACACCACTGATGTAGTTCCTCCTTGGAGATGTGCAGGCTGGCAAACGACCTCATCTTCTCCTCGAGCTCGTCGTACTTAGCCTGCACCTTGACGATCTCGGCCTCCTTAACCTGAACTTGGCGTGCTTTCTCCTCGAGGGTAACCACCTCGAATAACGCCTCATCCCTTTCTGCCCGAGCTGTAGCCAGATCTTCTCAAAGTTTCCTTAGCTGCACTAGGTAGGCCATCGAGGCCGCACTTATCTGTACCAACATAGCGTATCAGGAACACATTGATATACATATGCATTTACGACCTAATTTGGAAAATGACTTACCAATCTCAAACTGTCAGCCTCGTTCAGCTGAGCAGCGAACTCCTCGAGAACAGAACATCCGATTGACGGGGGGTTGCTAAAAGTGTGGACCGCCACGGATGGACCTCCCTCGAACAGCTGAGGGGGCAAGATTATCGCTTCACCCTCGAGAGGGCCCTTGCCTTTTTCGGCTGCAGGAGGAACTATGCTTGGCCCTGCTTCCGGCACAGGTTTCTGAACAGACTCGGTGGCGAGGGGCACCGTCTCGATATCCGCTGTGTGGTTTCCTTCGAGGGCGCGTCGGTCTTGGCGTTCTTGGATTTCGCCCTATCGCCCACCTTCACGATCCTCTTCTTCTTTTTCTTCTGAGGGGCAGCAGTAACAATGACATCCTCATCTGAATTCACAATGACAAAAGGATCCTCGTCACCAAACAATCGAGACCCAGCATTGCTTGATGACATGACCTAACAACAAAGAAAAAAAGAAGAAAACGATTAGTACCTTGATCTTCTTCAACAGAGATTTCAAGGGGAATTTTGGTTGCTCCCTCGAAGATGAATGGATCACCTTCCTTCGCATATACAAGGGGCACATAGTATTGTACGTCGTTCCACGTAACGACCCTCGAATATTTTAGAATTTTCTCCACATCTGCTTGGAACTCCTCGACGCACTCTTCATCCTCTTGGGTCCATTCATCTTTTATGGCCCCGAGACCCTCTGTCTCTCGGAGATTCCATGGGAAACAATAACTCGCATGCACCTTTACAAACACAAAGTCCGGTTTCCATTCCGGAGAGCCGCCATACGCCTCGTCCATCTTCTTCACGCCAGTTCTAAGGCGTCTTTTCACGATATACCAGTCCTGGAAAGAAGTTGAGGCTACAACTACTTGGAAAAAATACCTCCATAATACCAATCGAGGTATTACTTTTACATGTTGGCATACTCTCGCAAACCCCAGTACAAATGTATTTAAATTTGGGGTAAAACGAGCGAGAGGAGTTCTATATTGAACAATCTCCTCAAACAGAGGGTAGAGAAAAAATCTAAGCCCTAGATGCATAAATCGATCATACACGGTAATTCTTCCCCTTGGAGGAGAGTTAGCCCTCTCGTTTCCTAATGGAGCTCTCGCCTCTAGGGCTAAGGGGAAGTCATGCTTGGATCTAAGGTTCTCTACCTTATCCACCGAATCTATGGTGGATACAAAGTCCACAACAGTTTTTCCTTCGGAGTCCCTAACCATAATTCCGACGAGAATCTACTCTGGCTACAACAGAAAAGGACAAAAACTTGGAACAAATTGGAGATTCAGATCTAGAAACTTACTATGGAAGGGGGACGTGACCACTCGTCTTTCGAATTATAACTCCCCAGTGTTGTTCAGAAGCTTCAATTCGCAACTCCCCTGGAAAAGGTGTCGCCGGGGCAGTATATCAGGTGAAATCTTGAAAATTCCAGCCGGGAAAAGAATTAGGATGCTCTGGTAAAGAAGAGCAGAATGAGGGCTGGAATACTTTCGCAAAGGAGAGGATTTTGTGTTTTTACAAAGAAGGAAAGTGATTAAGTGTCCAGGACGGTAGAGCTTTCTCTTTAAAAGAAAAGTTGATTCTCCCACGTTTCCCTAATTATGGACCACGATTTGACAGTTATTGCGGGTTTCAAGGAAGTAATGATGTTCAGGCTGCCGTTTGGGGAACGTGTCCACTAATAACGCACAATTGAAAATTTGGGCGGGATTGGGAAGCGGGTCGTCTTCCCGGACCGAGACCTGACCCGCCAGTTCCTCTCGATCCTCTGAGATGGTCATGCGTTAGCATCGAGCTCCTTGGGCATGTGCCTCGACAATTAGCTGAACGAGGGTGGTCTATCCATTCTCGGGTATATCCCAGGTAATGCTTATTTTGTGCCAAGCGTTGTTTGTTTTTACGTCATTAACACTTGGCAGGGGCACTTGACGAGTCCGTATCCATCACCGAGACTGGACCGGCCCACCGACCGTAGGAAGAGTCCAACCGGAACTCTTAGGACGGTGTAAATTCCTGAAACCTAGTTGGATTCGGGAATTGCCCAGGTAATCTCATACCTATAAATAGGGTAGCTCATACCACAATTCAGGTACGCAATCTATAGCTAAACAAACTATCTTCCTAAACTTTCTAGCAACCCTTTTTACTGACTTAAGCATCGGAGTGTCTACCCTCGGGAGACCCCGAGACCCTGTTTTGCAGGAAACCCTAACCAGAGTTCCACCGTTAAACCGTCAGTACTAAAATTGAAAATCCACACCAGGTAATAATTTCGATACGCAGGGACTACTTTCCAAATCCTGGGAGGATGAGGATTATTTGAACAATAATCATTGAATTACATTGACATTTTCCATTCTTGCTTTCTTATTTTTTAATTTCTTTTTTTGTTTTTAGTTGAATTGATTTTTCCTTCGACGGAGGAAGAAAAAAGCCTAGACAGATTCTGATGAATTTAAGGGAGCAACCGTGTGGACACATCTTGATGTTTGATTACAGGCCTAGCAGTTATGCGGGTTTGGTCAGCCGTGAGTTAGGTCAAGGTGGGTTTGGGAGTAGGCGAGTCAAGACCCATCCCAACCCGCCATAAGCGCGAGTCAGAACGGGTTGGGTCAAGACGGGTTGGCGCGGGTGACGGGTCAACCCGCGGGTCACCCTACTCATTTTAAGCTAGTATAATTTTTTGACCTGCGGGTTGACCCGCGGGTCATGGCTTATTTTTTGAGTTTTTATTGGATTAATTTATAAATTTTAATTTTTTTTGGAAAAATAACACACATCAATTTTTAAATTTAAAATTTTCTAACTTAAACTTGCATTTTAAAACTCGTTGCACTATAAATTTTGACGTTTCGGACGAAGTATAACTGGGTCGACCCGTGGTTTGAACTGGGTCGGCCCAATAACTGGGTCATGATACACGGGTCAAATTGGGATTTTGTTCAAATAAAATCTACATTTATCTTTTAAAACTCGTTTGACTTAAATTTTCACGTTTCGAACCAAGTTTAACTGGGTCGACCTAGTAGTCAGGTCACGATACGCAGGTCGAATTGAAAATTTTTTCAAATAAAATCTATGTTTATCTTTTAAAACTCGTCTGATTATAAATTTTCACGTTTCAGGCGAAGTTTAATTGGGTCGACCCGTGAGTCAAACTGGATCGACCCAGCAATCGGGTCACGATACGCGGGTCAAATTAGGATTTTTATTCAAATAAAATCTACATTAATCTTTTAAAACTCGTTGGATTTTAAATTTTGACATTTTGAGCCAAGTTTAACTAGGTCGACCAGTGGGTCGAATTGGGTTGACCTAGTAGCCGGTTCACGATATACGGATCGAATTGGGATTTTTTTCCAAACAAAATCTAAATTTATCTTTTAAAACTCGTTTGACTATAAATTTTTACGTTTCGGACAAAGTTTAGCTGTGTCGTCCGTAGATCGTACTGGGTCGACCCATGATCCGGGTCACAATACGCAGGTTGAATTGATATTTTTTTCAAATAAAATCTATATTTATCTTTTAAAACTTATTTGACTTTGAATTTTCACGTTTCAAGCCAAGATTAACTGGGTCGACCCGTGAGTCGAACTGGGTCGACCTAGTAACTGTTGCAGGTCGAATTGAACTTTTTTCCTAATAAAATCTACATTTATTTTTTTTATAACTAGTTGGACTTTAAATTTTCACGAGCAAAGTTTAACTGGGTCGACCCATAAACTGGTTCACAGTACGCGGGTCGAATTCAACTTTTTTTTTCAAATAAAATCTACATTTCCCAAATTCGCACCATATTTTTCGAGGCCATAAGGGATCATCAACCCATGAGCCGTACTGGGTTTAAAATCACAATGTTCATATTTTTTTTTTATTTTTTTTAAACCACAAAGTTTTAAATCAGTGGATTTAAAATGAAATCTTATTGAAGTCAAAAAGTAGCTTATTACTTGTTATCTTCAAAAACTAAAATTAAAAAAAAAGGAAAAAAAGAAAAAGAAAAACGCAAAAACACACGTATCCACACACATTTTTCCTGGCCGTCACTTCCCCTCCTTCCAAACACCTCAACAAACCCACCCCCACCACTTTCCAGTTTCCATATCCCCAAACAAACGGCCGACTTCCCGATCCATCTTTCGCCCTTCGTTTACCATGTTAGCTTCAAGTTGGGCCCTTTTCCCCTTTTCTATTTTGATAATTTGCCTTCTGAGTTCTGATTAGGATTTAAATTTGAAAAAACATTGTTTTATTTATGAGCCCAGGATGTAATTTAGTAAAATGAAAATTTCTTCTTATTTTTGGTGGCGGATCTGCAGACGGGAGGTGACAATAGCTGCGATAAACGGCAGATGAAGTTGGTCACTGGTTAGATGCCGTCGAAGTTGGCAATAGATTCATCATTCATATGAAGTTGCTCCATATTTTTTTTGTGACCCGTCTTGACCAGCAGGTCATGATAACCCAACCCAACCCAATCCGTCTCTTACATACTCATTCTAACCCGCGACTCGTTTTGACCTGCAAGCCTTTTGACCCAACCCACATACGGATTGAATAAACCCGCGGGTCGCGGGTCAGATTTGCCAGGCCTATTTGATTATGATGACATCTACGAAAAAAATACGATGAATCACTTTCATATCGTTCATGAGACTGTTTCAGTGCAGAATCAGTTTGAAAAAATAAAAAAGGGACACAAAATCAGAGACAAAAAACAAAACTAAAGAGCTGCAATTGCCTATACAAGTGGAAGTACGCAAGTAAAACATACAAAACAACTTGCAAAAGGACGCATGTGTGCCTCGTTATCCTTCCAGAAATAACATTCAAGTTCAGTCCTAACATACATTCAGAATCTTACAGCTAAGAAAAGCCTGTATTCCTCAAGAGACCATGGGTGTGGCATCATCTTGGTTTCCTTCACCGGTTGGCACCTCACTAAACATAAACTCGCTTTGGTACTCCATCAAGTATTGAGTCGATCTGTGTACATCATAAAACAACTCATACACACGACTGATATCTTCTATCTCCACTATCCTTCCCTTGCGCTTTTGGCAAGCTAATGCAGCAGATGTTATAAGCTGTATGGCATATCTTAATGATGTCTCAACCCCAATTTTTGTTAATAAAATCTTTGCATCATCAGACATTTCTACCTCCTCTTCTTGGCACCTGATGTCCAGAATTTTCCTTATATCTTCTTCAGTATATGGCTGTGTGGAGATGATGAGAAGGCGATCAAGAAAATCTAGTGGAATGCCATGCGGAGATTTGTAGTTAGTGCCACGGATTGTTGTGATACCTCTGTTGGTAGCAACAACCAAAATAGGAGCCATATCATTCTCTAGGGCACGGTTTAGGAATGAGAAGCATTCGATGTCGAGCATGTGCACTTCATCAATAAAAAGAACACCAGGTACTATCTCCGCCTTTCCCTCCTCCCTCCACTCCGCAACCTTTGTGTCAATTTGTTCCCTCACTTCGCCACGAATTTCACCAGTGTCACCAGTGAAGAGAGCTAAAAACCCCTGCGTCCTAAATCAAAGAAAAAGGGCACTTTGAGTTCCTTTCTCATAATAAAGTTAGAGAACCTAGCAAGACAATCTGAAACGCACCATGATTGAACTTCAATGAAAAAATCTTGATAACTTTACCTTACCAGAGAACTATAGATATAAGTCAAAAACAGAATAAAATGAGCCAGATGGGATACAATAGTTGGGATCAATATGATCTCAAAAGTACGGAATACAATGAAGCATATACAGGGGAGCCAGACAGGATACAGCAGTTGGAATCAACACAACCCAAAAGTACAATGATCTATTTGAACCTAAAGGTATATGCACTTTCTTACATCATTAAGGAAAAAGCATTAATATGTTCCTGAAAGAACATCTGTTACATCAAAGTAAGGTGAAACTCTTCAAAGGATACAAACAAACTTGCCATCAATTTAAATATGCATAGGTTGATGCTGGGAATTTGTTTATAGTACCATAACTAACGTTGCTAATTTATACTAAACCTGGATGCCTAAGCCATCCTTCTGGGGAGAGCTAACATAAAAGTTACCAACTAAAAACATATGATGCAATTACCATAATTTCTATCCATTCCAGATATTTGCATTTTGAAATTAACTCCAATGATATGAATAATTTCCGGCGGAGGACCTTAGTATTTCCGGCAAATCTTAAATTCAAACTGAAACCAAAACCTGTTTATATGGATTCTTCATCCATTTTCCTTACTTTTCTTCTCATTTGAAATATGCTTACAAGTTAAGGCTCCAAGATTTAGAATTGATGAATGAAGACAATATCAAAGTTGTGTCAACGAAAATCTCCAAAAGGACAATTAAAGAGGCTTGAGTATGTTAGAAAATATCTGTTATATGAACATAAGTAGAAGAAAAACAGAGTACTCTCTAAAAGGTATAACCAAGCTAGCCTTTTATTTATATTTTACAAAAGAATACCCCTGAGGACAGTGAGGCATAATATTTTACCAAAACGCATGTTAATCACTTGATCCAAACATAAATGCAGTTCATCCACATACAATCTCTAACAAAATTATCTAAGAAAAGAGCATTAATTTATTCCTAAGAAAATATATGTAACAAGTTAATCTAATGCTTACTCTACAAAATATATAGCCAACATAGCATTTCATTGACATATATACGTGTATTTAACATAACCTTTGAAATGGTTTACTTGTAACCACACTCACAAGAAAATACATAAAGAAAACTAAACATTAGATTCAAATCTGCACCAATTGCACTATTATATGTTACGAATGCCATAATTGAATATAGATTCAAATCTGCAGCAAGAAACTGCTTTTCAATCTGTTACAATTTCCATAATTAATATCTCATCTACTTATCAGCATTCAGAAGAGCTAAAATGATATAAATATTTCCCACTGAGGTTCTGAAGAGCTAAACTGATGTTACTACTTCCCATAGAGCATGTAATTATACCAAATTATGACAATAATAATATTGAATCATGGACTCTGTATCAAGAATATAGTAATAATTTGCTCTGCGCAACAACCCCCTCCTCCTCTTTGCTGAGGAACTTCAGCCAAAATCCAATTAAACAAAAAATTCCTTAACCAAAAAAAAAAAAACCAAAAAAGAACAAACACTTACACAAAAATCAACAGAAACAACAGAATCAAACAAAAATACCTGCTGTTGATAACATCGATCTCGTGGAGAGTTACACAATGCACAATCTCCTTCCTCTTCTGCAACTCCCCGTCAGGGCATTGCACGAACTTGGTCTGCGGCCCCATTGCATCATAATCCCTGGATCTTGAAAAGGACCTCCCCAGCTTAGTAATCTTTCCAGAAGCCTTGTCAATAGCAATTACATCTCCACTCTGCACTTTCTCCTTACCCAAAGCTTCAATCATCTTTCCCCCAAGCTCGTAAACGGTCTCCATCTCCGTTGTCTTCACGGTCAGCTTCCCAGTCTTCGAAGCCGCTCCGGCCACCGCCGGCCGGTCAATTTGAATCTCCACCACCTCACCTTCAATAACCTCCGTCTCTTCTTTAATCCTAACACCAATCGCTTTCCTAAACGCCTGCATAAGGGCCTCCGTTTTGGACATTTCCAAGGAGAACAGCTCGCTGCCAGCCAGCATAGAGAAAGGGGTTTCTTGGCCGATGGATTTAGCCATGCCCATGGCTATAGCGGTTTTGCCGGTACCTGGCTTCCCAGCAATAAGCACGGCCCTGCCCGCAATTTTTCCTTCCTGAATCATCTTCACGATAACTCCGGCAGCCTTCCGAGCAGAGGTTTGGCCCACCATGCCTTCCGACGCCGCCCGCGGCTCAAGCGCCGAATCTAAACCCAACCCACGGATGTGGGAATGGGCTCCGACCCGTTCGATTTTGGTTAGGTCTCGCATCTCGGAGATTTTGAGGTCTCCCGCCATGGCTGGTTTGGCCAGACTCTCAGCTGGTGGTGCAGGGTTTAGGGCTTTGGCGAAAGGAAAGGGAAAGAATCAAAAGGTGCCTCTATTTTGGAATCAATTTATTCATAAATTTGACGGAATTTGTATAGGCACTGTGGGGGAAAAAATAATTAAATGTAAATTACATGGTCAAATGATAAATACCTCAAAGGTCTTTGCGCCTTGGTAGGATGAAAAATCTGAAATTAGCTTTTAGGCCAATGACAATATTTTTAGTTTCTATTCAGTATGAAAATCAAAAATCACTTGATGATTAAAAGAAATCGAGAGTTGTTTAAACTTAATTTGAAAGAAAAAAATATAATAACCATAAAAATGTTTATACATGGATGGCTTAGATTTATTTTAATGTAACTTTTAACATATAAATTATACATAAATGCATTATTATCAATAATTATTTGATTCTTTTTTGGGTTCTAATATGCCATTGTTTACCTAGTAGTAGTAATAAGAAAATTAGACACTTCGTGAAGAAAATAATACAACCATCCAAATCGAATTAATTAATGCAGGTTTTCTCCTTAAAAATGAATTATTAAAATCACCCCATTCGAGCAATTGCCTTTCAAGATAGAACATATTCGCACCTGGACCTGGAGATAGTGGTTGCCTACAAACAATCAAGATATACACAACCCTGGTTTGTACATGTGTATCTTGATTTCACAAGTGAAAAGCCCAGAACTAATTAACGTTGTCTGCTTAAACTTATTTCACAGCAAGAACGATAGTAGTAATTAAATATCATGTCTAATAACAAAAAGTTATGAACTAATTGTGGTAATTTTTAAATTTGTTCAAAAAGTTCCAGTTTTTGTTTTATTATTATTATTTTTTGGGGGGAATAAGTTGCTAATTTGGTACTCCCTCCGTCCCCAAATTATTGTCGAGTTTATATTTTTATTTTAGTACAAATTAAACTAAAATTGAAAATTCAAAAATGTACTTTTAGGACGAAGAATCAAACTAATCATTAGCATCAGGTTTCATGAATTGACCCATAGATGGCTTCCTAGTGTCTTTATTCCAAGAGCTTTCATGGCCAAAAAGGCAAAATCCACAGCTAAGCACAAGGGTAAGACAACAATCAAGAAGGCCAATGATCGTAAATGTCCCAAAACCATAGCTGCTACATTGCTAAGTATACATATAACATTAAGTGTGAGATTGATTGGTTTCCTCTGTATATCCTGGAGTTGACATTTTCATCACTTCCACTCTACTTTCCTTCTCACTGAAATCATAAACACAAATTTAAACTCCAGCAAACCGGATTCTAGATCGCCTCCAGGTCCATGGAAATTGCCTATTGAGTATTGAGCCTAGAGAGATTTGGTGAAGTATCAGCAATTGTTTGGATTTGCTCCTTTTCTCAAGTACGATAAGAGAGGCATAAGCCTAATTACGAGAATTTAAAACCCTCCATAGATTGAAGATATATAATATCGTGTTCTAACTACTGTTTAACCTCGTGAATTTGCTCCCTATGATGATTATTTTTTTTGGGGGGGTGAAGTAGCTTATTCTCACTGTCCACGTATTTAAGAAACCGCAATCCATAATCTTAATCAAACCAACAAGAAGATAATGCAGACTCTTAAATCAAACTTCAAGTAGATATATTCATTGTAGAGAAATAGAGAATACATGAGGAAACATAAAATGCAGGCCAAAAAATATACATCCCCCTGAATAACTGGATCACCTAAATCCTCCCACCTGCTATGGAGCAGAGCTTGTTGATACAGCTTGGCCAGATTTTTTCGACTTGCGATTCTTTTATTCGGCCTTTAACTTCCGGTCAGCTTGGCTTCCAGCAAACCGTTCCTTCAGCTGGACTATCTCCTTATCTTTCAGCTCTTTAAACAGCGGAGCAGGGGAGCCAATTCTGTGACCTCTAGGCAAAAACTCCCATAGTCTCCTGGCCCTTTCAATACTGATGTCGTCGAGCGAAAGAGGTATCTCGAGTGGCAAATTGAGCTGTTTTCGCACCTCGGCTGAGAAGGATGGAATAAAGGGTTCCAAGAGACAGGCTAGAAGATACACCAGTCCGACAGAAGTTCTTATAACTATCGAGCAGGCAGGTCGATCTTGTTTGCAAAGTTGCCAGAACCTGCTCTCTTGCAAATAGTGATTTCCCTCCTTTGAAATAGACATAGCTTTCTCCAAACCTTCCCTCAGTTTCACTTTTTCCATCGCAGCTTTGTATTCATCGACAAGATCGCCAACCCTTCGTCCCAAATCTTGAGTTAAAGGATGTAGTTCAACATTCTCTGCATCAGGAATCACGGAGCCATATCCTGGATCGTCTTTTGCGATGAAGCTCAAGACACGATGAATGAAATTCCCGAGTTTATTGACCAGCTCGCCATTAACTTTAGCCTGCAAATCTTCCCATTTAAAAGCTGAATCAGATTTCTCAGGTCTGTTTATTATCAAGTAATACCTCCAAACCTCAACCGGAATGTTGGTATCTTTAGCATCAGTTCCAAATACCCCTACACCTCCACTTTTCGAAAACTTGTCCGATTCGTAATTCAGGTATTCTGCAACGCTGACAGCTTTCATCAATGTCCAATTTTCACCGGTTCCCAAAAGTATAGATGGGAACCAAAAAGTGTGAAAAGGGATGTTATCCTTTCCCATGAACTGATACAGCTCCACATCCTTAGGATTTTTCCACCATTTTTCCCAATGATCAGGCGTGTAGCATTTGGTGATCGAGATATACCCGATTGGCGCATCGTACCATACATAGAAAACCTTGTCCTTGTATCTCTCCAGAGGTACAGGAACACCCCACTTGAGATCTCTGGTGATGTTCCTCTTTTTCAGTCCTTCTTTCAGCCAGGCCTTCGTTGTTCTGATCGCGTTGCCGCTCCAATTCGCCTCCATCTCAGAAATATAACTTCTCAACTTCTCCTCCAGCTTCGGAAACTCCAAGAAAACATGTTCCGTGTCTCGAATTGTGGTAGAGGAACCACATATTTTACATCTTGGATCAACAAGTTCAGTGGAATCATAAGTCTTTGGACAATTGTCACACTGATCACCTCGGGCGGAACCATTGTTACAACCAGGACAGGTTCCCTCCACATAGCGATCGGCTAAAAACCTTTCGCATCGGTCGCAATAGAGCTGATGAGTAGTGTCCTCAGAGAGATAATTCTTGTCCCAGAGCTTGTTGAAAATGGATTGGCACACATCAGTCTGTTGAGGGGTTGATGTTCGCCCGAAGTGATCGAAACTTATACCAAACCATTCATAAATCTCTTTATGGATTTCGTGGTACTTGTCGCATATTTCCCTGGGACTAAGGTTCTCCTGCAAAGCCTTGATTTCTGTGGCGGTGCCGTACTCATCAGTACCGCCGATATAAAGGGTGTTGCAGCCATTGAGTCTGCAATACCTTGCAAACACATCTGCGCTCAGGACACATCCGATGATGTTTCCGAGGTGCGGGACGTTGTTTACATAGGGTAAAGCGCTCGTTATAAGAACGTTCCTCTGCCCCGGGATTGGCAATATCGGGGCAGAAGAATTATTGTTACTATTGTTAATTGGTTCTTGAGAACCCATCTCAACTTCTGTACAAACCCAACAGAAACCTTAATTTTTTTTAAGAAAAAAAAAAAAGCCTACGGCTTTCAGCTTAATCAAAGAAAATCTGGCTTATGAAACAACTCTGTATTATAAAGAAGATGTGGACGATTTTTTAGCGGGTCTGATTATGGCAAATATGGTTCGCAATCACCCTTTATATAGAGGTATATGATTGATCTTCTCCTACTCCCTATAGGATTAGGTTTGGTAGTCAATAGAATATTGTTTCCTAATTTGACTTTGTAAGAAGAAAATTACTATTTGATCTCTGTTTCACAAATGGAACCGACCTTGAATACTAATATTACTAGTTACTACTGGCTTATTCCAAGTGGTAAGAGGATTTGATGAAATATCTCTCTCTATATATATAATCAATCCTTTCTTCTTCTTTCTTTCCCTTTCTTACGACCGAATCACCGTAGAAGATAGCGAAGAAGCTTTGTTTAGCTCCATGGTGGCAGAGATGGATGTGAAATTTCAATTGTACAATACCAAAACGACACAGAAGGAGATATTCAAGCCTAAAGAGGACGGCAAAGTGGGATGTATGTATGTGGAATCACGGCCTACGATTTCAGTCACATCGGCCACGCTCGTGACTACGTCGCGTTCGACGTACTCCACAGGTATCTCAAAGATTATTTGGGATATGAAGTTGTGTATGTTCGGAACTTCACCGACGTTGATGACAAGATCATCAACAGGGCGAAGGAAAGCAGCGAAGATCCGTTACGCCTGAGTCTCCGATTCAGTGAAGAGTTTGAAAAAGACATGGACGCCCTGAATTGCCTGAAGCCTAACCATCAGCCCCTATGTTACCAGGAGTCAGATACGGGTGTCGTATCGGGTGCGGGGATCTGAGTGTCTGACTCGTTAATATTTTAGAAATCTTGGACATTTTAAGCTAAAATGCCATACTCGACACTCATACCCACACCAGTGTCGACACGACACGACACGACACGGGTATTCTCCCCAAATAGAAGAGTTCGGGTAACATAGATCAGCCCTGCGTATCTGATCATATCGAAGAAATCAAACGAATGATTTCTCGGATTATTGACAATGGCTACACTTACAAGGTTGATGATGGCGATGTTTATTTCTCGATTGATACTTTCCCTAAATACGGAGAACTATCAGGGCGAAATTCAACTGGTAACAACAGAGCAGGTGAACGGGTTGCTGTGGATTCGAGAAAGCGAAATCCGGGCGATTTCGCGTTGTGGAAGGCGGCGAAACCCGGAGAGGAGGCAATCAGTTGGGAGAGTCCATGGGGTTTAGGAAGACCAGGCTGGCATATAGAATGCAGCGCGATAAGCGAGAAATACCTGACGAATTCTTTCGACATTCATGGCGGCGGGATGGATTTGATTTTCCCGCATCACGAGAATGAGGTTGCTCAGAGCTGTGCTGCAGCCAATCTCCCGGAATAAGAGATGGGGAAGAACGTCAAGTATTGGGTGCATAATGGATTCGTGACGGTAGATGATGATAAAATGTCGAAATCTGTTGGGAACTTCCGCACGATTCGCGATGTTTTCGATGTTTTCCACTACCATCCGCTCGCGCTTCGGTATTTCTTGCTGACGATGCACTATCGTTATCCTGTCAATTATTCCGAGTTACAGATTGCGAAAGCATCAGACGCCGTTTTTTAAATTTACCATACCTTGAAAAAGTGTGAAGATGTTGTAAGAAAATTCAAGAGTGATGAAGCTGAGGAGAAAAAAGATAGTGTTGAATCCCCTGATGTTGTCAAACAATCCAGGAGGAGCCGTTGTTCATCAGCTGAATAAAAATGTGTTGAGAATTTGCGAAGAGAATTTCAAGACGAAAATGGCTGATGATCTGCATTCAAATACCATTTTGACAGGCGCATTGGCGGATGCCATGAGAATCATGAATAATTCATCAGACAAACTTCAGAAGAATCATCCAGGGAACAAGATTATGATGCAGTCGGTGGAGCATCTGATTGAGCTGGAAAAAGAAGTGAGGAAAATTCTAGCTTTACTTGGATTGCTGTCTGAAGAACATTCAATTTCTGAGGTGTTGGAGCAGTTAAAAGACAAGGCATTGAAAAGAGCAGATCTGACTGAAGAAGATGTTTTGCGCGAAATTCAGGAAAGAGCCAAACAAAGGAAGATGAGAAACTACGAAGCTGGTGATGAAATTAGGAAAAAATTGGCCGCTCGGGGAATCGGTTTGGGGGATGAGGGGGACCAAACCATTTGGACCCCATGTGTGCCAACATCAATGCAACAACAAGAGTTCAATTAGGTTGAAGTACTTATGAGTTGTATTTGTAAATCTCGCAACGTATTGTTAATGTCACTTCAGTTTTTGTATTAATTAATAAATCTTCCCTGTGTTTGAAACTTGAAAGTCACTGAGATTACAAAAGCAAATGTTCAAACGCAGGAAGAAAGATTGACTCTGATGATTATTGTGGTTTCTCCCCAGATCAGTGGCCATTGGTCAAGACAAAGATTAATTGATGGTAACGCTTCATTTTAATAGCCCATTTTCTTGCAACAAATTTATTATAATTGTTGAATCGGGGATGAATAGAGCAGGTAATGTCACGTTACAATAGAGCAAACCCGCGGGAGAAAACAATTTTGCACCTCAAAGATCGAGTAAATTAAATGATAATCTAACAAATACAATCTCTTTCCAAAATTTTATAAGATTATAAAGTCAACAAAGCTAAAGACGATTTATCGTCAATTAGATAATATAAATTTGCGGCAGATATTCAAAGCATTTCCTCTTCTAATTGGAAATCTGTATTTTGCTTCAGCTTCATCCGGGCTATGGCTGCTTGATTTATTCCAGTATCATCACCCATGAGCCATAAAATCATACCAGTTTTCTTGTAAAGGTAAACAATCACTTCCACTGGATCAAATTCTCCATCCACAGTTATAATTTGATTTGTGTTCAACTTCAAATCCACGTCTTTAACACCCTTCACTCCTGTAACAATAACAATTAATTAAAAAAATACAAAAAATTAGTAATTACTCTTCTGTCATAAAATAGTGCGCAAATCTCAAAACTCAGTGTGAACTAAAATATACAAATCTTAAAATTTAATGTGAATTAATTTTTTTAGGCATAGATAAATCATAAACTCTTTCCCGTACAGTTCATTTTGTTGAACTAAAATAATAATAGTACTGCATCAAACCAAACCGGAGTTAGAAAAATACCTGCCTTCCCGATAGGGATGCACCAAATAGTGCGAGATTTTTGCTTCAAGTGTCCCGGAATGAGACTTGCCTCCTCATTGGTGCCATTCATCAGCAAATACTGTTCCCTCATCTTTTGCACATACAGAAAAGAAAAAAAAAAAAAAAAGGAATTATCGTGCTAATAAGTAAGTATCAATATACTCTTCCAAGATTGATGATAATTTTCCAACACGCGATTATTATGTAATATATGTATTTCCGTTCCTTAAAAGAGTAATTTTGTCTCCAACAATCAGGTAAATTATATGCTTTGAGTTACCAATTGGGAATTGGTTTTACACTTTTAGTCTGATTCCGTTTTGTATTTGGATCTGAAAAGTGTGTTTTTTTTAATTAATCTTCGAATTAATTAATCTCATCTTGGAATTAATTATATACCCGCCACATACACAAAATCACTAGAATAATGTATACTGATTTTTTTCGTTCTCTTTTTATTCTTATTTTGCATCTGTTGACAGTTTTCTCTTTCAAAACTGAATATTAATTTACATTGTAAAAATAACCACAGGCATTATTGTGCTAATTAGTTTAAGATTGTGTTTGTAAAAGATGGAGGTTACACATATAATATTAGTAAGTTTGATTTAATTTAGACAGAAAATAAGTAGTTAGTCAACAAAAAAAAAAAAAGCTGGAAAGGTTACACAAATTTAAGCTTAATTTAATTTAGACATAATATATCTATATATATATAGATATATTGTGAAACGAGAATAGTTTGTTAGTTTCACAAGTAAATTTTTATAATTTAATTGCATCGGTCGGTAACATCAACAGAAGGACATGAAAAGCATTACTTGGAACATGAATCACAGATTTACTACGCATTAACAAATTTTTTATTCTGTTTATATCATATAGACGATAACTTAAACTGTATCCTTGTCTCCAAAAAAAAAATATTCATAAGATCAGAATAAATATGCTGCAGAAATCAAAAAAAGAAAATCGGTTACTGGATCTTTAGCTACTAGCTAGACAGTGTAATTGATGATCAAGACAAGATTAACAAATAACGAAATTGATAATATTTATAGCATCGAAGAAAGAACAAGAATTTAAACCACAAATAAAGAACTTACCAGGACGGAAAAGGCTCCTTGATTTGATGAGCAACTCAAGAGTCAAGACAGGAAAGTTAGGTTTAACTTGTGACTTACTATAAAATAAATGTGGACCGGAGGGAGAATATAAATTTGGTGTAGAGGCCTGAATTGACCTAGTTGTGGAAGTATATTTCCTGTTCTCTTTCAGTCTGAAAAAAGAAACAAAAAATTTCCTGGTTGAATATACACAGACAGAAAAGACCATTAACCGCAAGGAACCGAATCACATATTTCGATTTGCTTTCCTTTTTTTTTTTTTTTTTTTTTTTTTTGTCTTTGTGTTAATCTGAAACAGTTAATTGAATCCCGTCAACAATATACTAATTTCGTTTTTGAAACAAAAATTAGAACGTAAGGTTAGGTTTCCTTTTTCTTTTTCTTTTCTGCATATGTTTAAAGTTTTTTTTTTTTTTCTTTTTGAAAAAGTGCATGTTTAAAGTTAATTAATTCACTTCGTTTCGCTTTGCCCCTTTCTCATTATCAATTGTATTTAATGGAGATTTTCTCAATATTTAAGTGAGATTTACTGAGTAGAATTTTTTACTAAAAAACACATCAATTTCTTTAGCTTCTATGGGATGTTTTCCAAATATTTAAGTAAGATTTACTGACCCATCAATTTCTTTAGTTTCTGGCCTTTCTTGCTTTCGATGAACACCGGATTAAAGACCCGACAAGCAAACGTTGAACTGCCTTAATTTTGAGAAGCTTCATAATGCTGAAATATTATAAACTAGCTATCATATCCCAAAACGTACAATTTATTCACTTTGTTTTGAAATGATTATTTAATTTTTTTGTATCACTTTTATTATAATTTATACTAAAAGTGAAAATCTAAACATAGTATATAATCATTTTGAGTTTGAGGGAGTATGATTTGATGAATGATCATAGGAGTTCATTAGATATTTGTATTCCATAGGGGCGGTTATCATGTAGTTTAAAATACCACATGCGTTTCTTTTGTATTAGCCCTAATTACTTAATAGAGTACTCAACTCCATCACTAATTAAAAATTTTACTGAGCTATAAAACTAGCATATCATAAATGTTACAGTAAGTTAATGGATGACTAATATTTTCCAAGAAAAATAGCCTATTTTTCATAATGTTCTAGTAGTTTGGTTGGTGTTCTTGAAGTCCCCTACAAACTCACGTGTGGTTCCATCTCAAAACTAATTGGCAATGAGGGGAGTAGCACATAAGGTATATATGTTGATCAAGTTAGCTTCTCAACTCCAATATGGGACAAGTGTCTTTCACTTGTTTTCAAGTTCAAAGGGGATGTTAACACCCCCTCTCAAGACCAAAGACAAGGCCCCTTTGAACAATCAAAACCCGATACGGGTAATATATCAAAGCCCAATACGGGTAAATCAAAGTTCTCGGATATACTGCTGAGTTAGTTAAAGTCCAATACAGATAATCGAAATTCTCGGATATACTGCTAGGTCAGTCAAAGCCCAATACGAGTATAAGTCAACCTGGAGAAACCGCCGGATCAGTCAAAGTCCACTAAAAAAATCCGCAGATGAAACCCACTCTGATATCATCTTGAAGGCCCATATAAGCCTACATGTAGTTCCACCTCTAAACCAATTGGCAATGAGGGGAGTAGCACATGGGGTATATATGTCAATCAAGTAGGCTTCCCAACTCCAATGTGGGATAAGTGTCTTTCACTTGTTTTTCAAGTTTAAAGGGGTTTTAACACCCCCTTTCAAGCCCAAAGGGGTTGGACAAGGTCCCTTTGAGCCATTAATTGTTTTGTTTGTTTTTTTTTTTTTTAAGGCCCATTTCGGGTTTAGTTTTTTTTTTGTTTAAAGACCCATTTCGGATTTTTGGTTTGTTTGAAGGCCTATTTCGGGATTTTTAATTTGTTTGAAGACCCATTTCGGGTTTTTTTTTTAATTTTATTTTGGAAAACCCGCCAGGTCGGTCAAAGTCCACCCACAAAGTCCCCGAATTAAAACTCGCTCTAATACCATCTTGAATGGCCATATAAACCCACATGTGGTTTCACTTCAAAACCAATTGGCTATGAGGGGAATACCACATAGGGTATATAAGTTGATCAAGTTAGTTTCCCAACTCCAATGTAGGACAAGTGTCTTTGACTTGTTACAAGTTCAAAGGGGATGTTAACATGTGTAATAATTGAAAATATGGGACGAAATTAACCGTCTTATCCAAGATTAAGAACCAAATTCATCGAGCGAGAATCACAAAACGCTATTTACTCTAAAAGAAAAAATAATTTGCAGTTTTGTTTTTAAAAAAAGAAAAAACCATATACTACTCTCTTATTTCCCTATTCTTATCGGGCATCTCTAATGGTTTAATTAAGTTCTCATCAATTGATCAATCTGGTGCATGGCTACTAGGTTGATTCCGGAGTTATCCTCCACGAGCTCCAAAGTCATACCAGTTTTCCTGAAAACGTAAACAATCACTTCAACCAGATCGAATTCTCCGCCCACATATATCTGCAGAGTTGTTCGGTTCAAATCCAAAACCACATTTTGAACACCTCTCACTCCTGAATTAAAAATGAAAAAAGATAAATATAGTAACTCTATAGTGAAAATAAATATGACTGAGTTGGCCTTATTTTGTAGCCATTTTCTCATAGAAATTATATGTTTCTTTTAAAAAATTACACTTTTACCCTTAATTAGCAAAGACACATCAGCCACTGTTAGTTTTTATTATGTTTTTTCACTGACTGTATCTTTGGTGATAAAAAAAAATTGTGTATCACAATTTATAGATTATGATATAACACTTTTGTATTAAATAACGTCACTCCTTGTATTATACTATTTCAAACAATTAATTAAATAACCGATACCTTATTAATCACTTATACTCATTAAAATTTACTTGCCAATTAGTATGTTGGTATTAATTATAAAAAGTCATTTGTCAAATGTTTATAACTTATATAAAAGTGATGAATATACAAAAATATATAATACATAAGTGGAAACAAATAACTATAGTTGCAATTGGAGATTGAAAAACAACCTAATAGCTAGGATGTTATGTTTTGTGAGAGTAAACTCTTCAATTTCCATCAAGAAATATTGTGTAGATAGTTTTACCCGCAGGGGTGGATTTTTTTTTAATTTTTTATGAAAAAAATTACAATTGTAATCTTGTCAAGAAAGCTATCACAGTAGAACTTTTATAAATTAATAGTGTTGCGACCATCAAAATTTATTAATTTAAAAAATTATTAAATAATCGATAAATTAATATATATATATATATATTAAAGTAAGGTTTTCAATTAAGACGTGTCGTTCAGGAAGGTGTATTGTGCCACATGTTATAAATTTATTGGTCCATCATTAAAGTGTAAAAAATAATTATAACTTAGGTAAATTAAATTAATAACCATCCATATTTTTACTACACGTTATTTTTTTATATGCATGTAAGATTATGCTATGTAAGGTAAAGATTCAATAATCCGATATTATGATCTTATCCTTTAAAGCAATTATTCGTTCTGATTTTGTTCACATAACTTTTGTCACATTTTAAACCCTAATTGATCCCCGGCTCTACATGTTATAAATACGTGAATTAAGTGAGCAAATTTTTTTACTTTAATTTTTGGAAAATATCCCTTAACCCCTATCATTTGTCCTCTCAAACAGATATGTCGAAAAAGGTGAATTTCTTTGCTCAACTTGATGGTTCAACCAGATACGGGTGGAATATTAAGGTGTGAATTTTACGAGTTTGGGAGAACCCCGTCATCAACGATGATGATCAAATTGTTGCTTTGGAGATACTTTTGATGGATGAACATGTTTGTTTTTTATGTTATTGACCAATAATTTTCAAAAAGTTGTGTTTGAAGTTGACAATTATATTAAATTAACTTATTGTGCCATGTTTTTGTTTTATAGAGAAATAAAATCGTTGCCTCTATAAAAAAGGAAATGC